GTAAGGGAAAAAATCATATTTAAGGTGTTTTCTTTACCTCAATTCAAAAATAAGGTAAATAGTTTAAAAATTCAAAAATCAGGTATTTATTTAATTAATTAAAAATATTTATTAAATAAAGATAAAAAAGTCACATTTTGTGATTAATGGTCACATATTCATAATTTTAAGTTACAGATTTATTTACTGGTCACATATCGTCAAATTTTTTGATCGCAAATTATTTCGAGGTCACATATCAAAAAATTTGTAGGTCACAAATTATTTCGAGGTCACAGATTTTTAAATTAGTTGGTCACATATTATTTCGAGGTCACAGATTATTAAAATTTTAGGTCACATTTGAGTAATTGGTCACAGATTGACAAAATTTTGGTCACAGATTGACAAAAATTTGGTCACAGATTGCCGATACTTGGTCACAGGTCACAGATCGACCAACACAGACTACCCAGCCACAAAACACACGACTGAACCCCAACATCGATTGATCCACCACCACCAAAAGCCAACCACAACCACCACCGCCAGCCAACAACAATAGATCCACCAACCCCAACAAAAATAGACCAACAGCCAACCACCACCACCAGCCAACAATAGATCCACCACCACCAACGGCCAACCACAACCACCACCGCCGGCCAACAACAATAGATCCACCAACCCCAACAACAATAGACCAACCCCAGCTGCTCCACCGCAAACCACCACCCACAGCAGCGTCGCGACGCCGACGCTGCTGTGGGGTCGCAGCAGCACGTCGCTGCTCCGAAGGCGAAGCAGCGGTCGCTGCTGCAGCGCCGCTGCGATTCGCAGCAAAGAGGGGGTGGAGAGGGGGAGGTAGAGCCGTGGAGGGGGAGGGAAGAGAGAGGGGAGGGGAGGCGAGGGGAGGGAGAAAGAGAGGGGAAGAGGGGAAGGGGAAGTGGGAAGGGGAAGGGGAAGGGAAGGAATTAGGGTTAAACAGCTTTTATACCACCTGATTTTTGAATAATAAAATTTGGTCCCTAAATTTTGAATTCCAATCTTTAAACACCTGAATTATTATAATTTCTCTTATTGTAATGGTGCAGTTTTTTTAAGGAAAAAAAATAATAAAATAAAAATGGTTTAGGCGTGATTTTTAGACCTCCATCGAGATTTAGTGGGGAGGAAGGAAGATTTGAATTCTTTGACAAATGTCTTACAAATAAGGAAATAAAGTACAACTTTAAAATAAATTTGGTTAATCTATTTGAGTCGCACAAAAGACTTGCATGAAATCTAAGGATGGCAAAAGGGTCAAGTAACTCGTCGGCTCGTCAAAACTCGACCTATGGACGACTCGAACTCGTTTCGGGATGAGCATGAGCTCGAGCCGAGCTGGGGGTTTGAGTCGAGCCCGCAAACGGCTCTTGAGTTCGTAAAAATGTGAAGAAAAAAGTAATAAAAAAAAAGAGCTCCTGCACTCGTCTAGGCTCGGCTCGCAAGCTCACGAGCTCGTGGACCGAGCTGAGCTCAACCCTTGAGCACGAGCTCATGGGTAGATTGGCCGAGTGCCACCACTAATGAAACCTCATTGTCAACAAGTTTGTTGTATTTCATATTTTATTAGTGAAAAATTAGGGGTGTACTACCATGGTTTGTGTAATTTTGCTTTTTATATGTGTTGAAATGTAATTAATTTGATGTCTTGATTATTAATATAATGGCAAAGAGTATCAATAGGTTTCTTTAACTTTTACTATCAAATATGATTCAAGAAGAAAATAAGGAAGTCATATTCGTTGGTTGTGTAATTATGAATAGAGTTTTTCAATTTACATGTCACCTAAATAATGCATTGGAAATGGCACTTAAAGTCTGTATAATTTTTAACGTTGGATTTCAAGACTCAATCTCTCAATTGTTGATTGCACAGCATAAAAAAAGCTTGACTGATAATACTTAGCCCATGTTTCAAATAGCTTTAAAATTAATAAAAATCTAAGTTAAAGTCAACAATTAACTTAAGCATACATTTCATAAAATTCACAACTTTATATTAACTTTTTAACGATACATTTCATTAATTTTTATCAAAATTTACTAAAAAAATAACTTTTAGCTAAGTAATGTTATTTAACACTACTATTATAACACTGAGTGATACTAAGTGAAATTAAATGAGGGATACAGTTAAACGAGTCATATAATTTCTCATTTAATTGAATTTATTACATAGTACAACATAAACCGGTGTTGTAAAATGACATTATTTTTTTAGCTGCACCAAACGGGGACTTATTACAATATTGTCTTTTTCTCCTCAAACGTGAAAGAACTTAGTTTCCTAATAAAGGAATTGAGGAGGGCCATTTTCAGAATTTAGCAATTCAGACTTCTTGCTTATTACTTTTCTAATCCATAATAATTGATATTTTTTGATGTCCAGTCATGAATCTTGTGTTTATAAAAATATTTCAAAATAAAGAAAACTAATCTAGTTTAAAGTAGTTTACACTACCATTTTTATCAATCTCGTCTTACGTCGTCCTAATTTCTCACAATTTTTCAATTGAGACAAATTNATTGCACGGAGCCTGAGAATGGTATGCAATGGGATTTGACGGTTGGGACTTGGTCCGTTTATGGCAAAAACAAAGATAAAAGAGTCTTTTAGTCGAGAAACAGAGTTGTGGCTCTAACTCAACACCATCAATCAATCCTGCTTTATTATGAAACCGAATTTGTTCTTCACCAGGCCACAGTACTCTCTCTCTCTCTCTCTCTCTCTCTCTCTCTCTCTCTCTCATGTTTCTTGATTTTTCACATAAATTTTCTTTTCCCTTCCTTTTGATTCTATTATTTTGTTTTATAGCTTATGAATTACATATAAGCAATGTTCTTTTGAAAAGTAAAGAAAAGTTTTGAGTTTATGTATAAAATATTTTATTGTGTGAATGTAATCGAAAATGAGTATGCAGAAAAAAAGTTTTAAAAGAATAAAAGACAAATAAGGGCTAAGTTTAAACTTGATTGAATTGTTTGGTTCCTTCTGGGAAATTTCAACAAACCCCAAGGCATGGGAGATCTGAATTTGCTTCACTGCTTATGACTAAAAATATACATAGTCCTCTTACAGAAATAGATTTAATGACAGATTTTTAAACAGACACTTTATGAATTCTCATTGAAAGCCAAAAAAAAAAACACACACACACACGTAGAGAACCAATTAGGGTTGACATTCAGCCTCGAAATAGGCTCCTGTCGCATGCTACATGTACAGAAAATTTTTCACGAATGTCACACAATGGACACTTAAAAAAAAAGGCAGCTATATACGCAGCACCTATATAGTTTCTTTTTGTTTTTTCCGTGTACTCGTAGAATAATTCTGATTGAAATATACAAGGGCTTCTGTAGCAAGCTAGTTAATGACGTGAGCAATGGGGACAACATCATACCCATGCGCAATTGAGTGGTCCTCTAGCCTCTTGCCTTCCTTCCTCCCTTTTAATACTTCTCTCACTCCTAAACACCTTGGTTCTCTCTCCCTATCTTCTTTCTCTCTCACCTTTTCATTTTTTCTTGTCTTTTGCATTAGTTTTGTACTGTTACCAACAATAAACAGCCAAGATTATAAGCTAGGAACAACAGGTGAGCCTCTGATTTTATAGTAATGTTTCTCCTACCTACAATCAGAAGAAAATATCATATACAAATTTTGATTCACTGGACATTTGCACTTCTTGATTGCCTTGTGCTGATGAAAATGTAAATTGATCGTGGAGTCTCACAAAACTCTACCCCCAACATCTCTGCATTAACCTTAACTATATTCCTTTTAAAACTCTCTCTCTCTCTCTCTCCCCCTACATATATATACATATATGTGTGTGTGTATGTGAGAATCCTGGTCTAACTTCAAGATTGTTCTTTTATATTTCAGCTGGTCCTACCTCCACATGCAACATGTTATTTCATTCATTTGGTTTATGAAGATCATGATTTTGTAAACTGTTTACCCCCACCCTACCCAGGAAGATTGTAAGGCAGAGAAACTTCCATATATTCGATAATTATGGCTTGTCTAATTATCGACAAAACTGATAGAAAAACTAAACCCTCAGCTGCTGAATTGATGATTTCAGTGCAAAGAGAATAGTATAATCCAAGGAAATTCCTATCATCTTCCACATGCTTCTTTTGGCTTTCAAAATGGTATACTGACTGGCGACTGCTAATATATTTGTTTCCATAGAAGAAAATAATCAGAATTTGCCATGTTTGTAACAGACAAGAAGACAAGAGGATTTGAGTTCATCAGCCTGCAAATTCCTTTCAAAATGTTCTCTTTTTTCCTTTTCAAACATTCTCTTTCTGCAGGCTTCACTTCTTTTTGTCTCTCAACTTTTTTATTATATATATATATATATATAAACGCGTGCTAAATTCACATAACGTCATCCACCTTGTCCATTTGGCACTGAACTCAACATTCTTACAGCAATCAAAAAAAAAAAAAACTACTTAAATGTATTGCAGAAGTGAACCATTACTTCCACAAGACAACATCATTACTTGTCCGTTTCTATTTCTAATTACCCTCTTTGTTTAGGAGCAATGCCTCATCATTTGGTTTTTCCTTTCCTTTATGTTTCTACTTATAATTAATAATCCAAAACACACAAAAAAAAATCGTTATCTTGCTAAGGGAAAAAGGAGTTTGTAAAGAAAACATTCTTTTTACACGCGTTCATGACCTTTCAGAGATAAAATGTCAAGTGTTGATTACCACCAAATGAGTTGATGATTATATCTGATAACACTTGTCACCTTTTGATATGTAGGGTTAACAATTGTTTTTGTTCACTTTTTAACTTTTTTCTTATGGTAATCTACATTCTGGCCTGTATAAACCTTGGCTCTTTATATTGACACAAGAATAGTTATGATTTGGAGATGATTTGGTTTTGAATTTGATTTAGATCTGAGCATATAAACACATAAACAGGCTTGATTTACTTCTAGACGCCATGGAGTCTTGTGTTCCACCTGGATTTCGATTTCATCCCACTGACGAAGAGCTCGTTGGATACTATCTGAGGAAGAAGGTTGCATCACAGAAGATCGATCTCGACGTTATCAGAGATATTGATCTATACAGAATTGAACCATGGGATCTTCAAGGTAAGGTTATTTATTATTGATGTGTTCTTGAATTGTGGAACATTTAATTGTTACATTATTTTTCTTATCCTAGAGCGTGGGAAATTATTTTCCCAAGCAAGAGATCATCAGTTGATGAACATAGCCAAGTAAGCTTAGAAATTATAGTCCAAAACCTAGATGCTTGGGATATAATTCTTGGTATCCTTGAAGATCGTCTAACCTGTGGAGGAGGGTGTTGAATACTACTAAATCGGGAATCTGAATAGACCCTTCTAACACTTGGAAGTTTTCTGAAATCTAATCTTCTGCTTCAACTTATGGAAAAATAAGAAAACATACACACATAGCCTGCCAAAAATTGCTCTTCTTTCCATGTTTTTTGTAGAGTATGATGAAAAATTGTAATGGACAGACAAATGCCGGATCGGATATGAAGAGCAGAACGAGTGGTATTTCTTCAGCCACAAAGATAAGAAGTATCCAACTGGGACAAGGACTAACCGAGCAACCATGGCAGGGTTTTGGAAGGCTACAGGAAGAGACAAGGGAGTTTATGACAAGACAAAACTTATTGGTATGAGAAAAACCCTCGTATTCTACAAAGGAAGGGCTCCAAATGGCCAGAAAACTGATTGGATTATGCATGAATACAGACTTGAATCAGAAGAAAATGGTCCTCCACAGGCAAGCTTAGTTCACAGTTGATTATATATAATTCTGTATCTAGCTTTATCCTACATATTCTTGAACTGTGGGACGAAACAGAAAGCCAAAACCTCTCTCTCTCACAGAAAAAAATCTTTTTTATATGTTTCATGGTTTACAAGCGAGCATGGCCATTTCAAGAAGTATGGTGTCTGGATAATTCTAATACTTGTACATTTCATCTAAAAATTGACACGAGAATTTCTTCTAAAACAATAAGTCCACTTAAAGAAAAATGGTTACAAAGTCATCATTTAGTAATGGTCCATTTTCCCAACTATGAGAGGTACGTAAGACTTGTGCTAACATTGCATGTTCCTTTATTTACATGCAGTATCTTTAAATATATGCATGATAATTTCACTCTTAAGTCAAAAAGTCATTTTGCTTTGTTCAAAATGAATGCATTCTACTCGGAATCACTTTTCTTGGGTGTGCTTTTCACTGTTTCAACTTGTCAAAATCAAAATCTCATTACTTTCCCCCTATCTCTAAGCCTTTGTCATACTTTTCTTTCCTTTACCAGACAGAAAGACCAACAAAAAGTAAAAAAATTGTAGAGACCAAATATGTTTAAAAAATGGACTCCGAATTTGCGGTGTTATTAGTTTGACTATAACCTTCTTTACCTTAAATTAAGACCTAATTTACATATTGTTCCGTTTCGATGCTTTAAGCTTTTTAGATGGGGAGTTCACCTTGGCATGAGATAACACCTTGAGTTCAAGTCTTGACAATCCTCTATTTATGAAATATTGAGCATATGTTTAACCTTTGATGAACAGGTTTGTTTGATCTTACAGGAAGAAGGATGGGTGGTATGCCGAGCATTCAAAAAACGAATCACAGGACAAACGAAGAGCATTGAAGGTTGGGACTCAACTTACTATTATGAAGAACCAAGTGTTGCAATATCAGTTGTGGATCCTATTGATTATATGACAAGGAAGCCCTCAAACTATCCAACCCAGAATTTCATGTACAAGCAAGAAATAGAAGCAAAAAATTTAAATATTGTACACACATCAGCTGATCATCATCAATTCGTTCAACTTCCACAGCTAGAAAGTCCCCCCTTGACAATGATGAAAAAACCAAGTCTGGTTTCCATAGTATCAGGAAATTATACCAATGAAGAAGATGAAAAGGCTAGAGTCGAATGCAATTCAAAAAAGATAACTGCAGATTGGAGAGATCTTGACAAGTTTGTTGCTTCTCAGCTGAGCCATGGAGATAAATACGAAGGTGAAGCTGTTTCGAGCTTTGAAGCTCTTAATGATGATTCAGATTTGGGATTGCTTCTATTGCAAAGTGGTAGAGAAGAAGGAGAAAACTTAAATCAACTTTTGAGTTCAACTTCAGATTCTGATATTGGAATTTGCTTGTTTAATGACTATATAGGATAAAGGGTTTCATCACTATTGTCAATTTCTATATTGAGAGATATATATACACATTCTAGTAAATAGTTTGGTTGTGAAAGATTAAAAGATCAAATTATAAACCTCTCTCTCTTTCTCTAATCACTATGAACTTAATAATCAAATATATATGTGTCTTCTTATTCTTAAAATCACTTGCATGTTATCGTATTTGTTGAGGTGAGCTTCATCTGTATTTCCTTCTTGTATGACGATAGAAAACATTCACAACCAATATTAGCAAACATTCAAGCTTAGCAAGTTAAATTACAATTGCTTAAAATTTTACTGTAAAAATATGCAATATGGATATTTCATATAGTTAAATAATACTTTTAACGTGATCATATAACGGATCGGTAGGGTTTTCGAAAGTAAAAGAACTTGTCGGTGAATCGCAAAATCCATTACTAATGAACATTATCGGTTCCGTCCGCCGCAAATTCTTATGCTCTCTTTCTTTATAAGCAATATTAGCAGTTTCTATGTATAAACATGGTCATTAGGGCCTTAGAATATGCCAGTAAAAGAGTGTTTACAATAAAATAATAATTCTTATCCAATGAAATTGCAATTGAGATATATTTAGTACAGACAAAACTAGATAAAAGTGAACAATATAATTAATATATTATAGAGTTGAGTAACGTAAGAATTCAAGCTTACTAGACATGTCATTCACAAGATAATATGTACAGAAACTAAATATTAGTAAAGAAATTTGAGTTAGTAGTGAACAGAATAAGCCAATGAGGAACACGTGAAAGTTTTATTTTGGAATAAATTGATAGGCAGCGGTAAAGAATAGGAGAGTGGTGCTATTGTGGGCCAGTCAGTTGTCTGGCGTGCTCTGTGCAAATGGGGTTTGTACTCGGCATGCTTGTCTTAGGAACTCCCTGCTTGGTACCAACACTTTGACCCAAATTTGTACTAAGCATTCCAATTAGCATTAAACACATAGAAAGCAATTTAGCTTTACCTGATAAAAGTTAGATTTTTAGCAAATTTTGAAAAAAAAAACATAAAATGTGGGATTAAAAAATTGATAAAATTTGTGATTCCTATAAAATGTGTGATTAAAAATAAATTTGAGAAAATAAGGGTCAAACATGAACTTAAATTTCTTCATAAGAGAAAGACTAGTACAATTCCAGAGTGAAGATGTGCAAGTTGATGGATCAAACAGCGACTCAGCATTAATGAAAAGGCACCAAAATTTTTTTATATTACGTTAATATTTTCTTAATTTAACATATTATTGAAAAAAAATATTTATTTTTCTCATTTTAACTATCTTGCTTTCGGGAAAAAAAAATTATTTTAAACTCTATTTTACCAGCCAAATCTCAAATGTCCAATCAGCTTAATTAACCAATTACCAACCCAACAAACCAATAAGCAACCCAAAATTCAAATGATCAAAGTAAAGAGTGAAAAGCTAACTCCAAATCCCTTTTAATCATTTCCTTCTTTCATACCCTTTAACCGACGAAGATCAGTCAAATAGAGAACAGAAGAAATTTATCGTAAGATTTTGTTGCCTACTCTACAATAGTACAATCTACATTGTAACATGGTTATTTTATTGGTATCGATTGTCCACTTGTTAAGTTCTATTATGTGATTTTTTTGGTCTAGACGGGTACGTTTTTGTTGGGGATAACTGATAAGTGATTACCTTCAATTTTTTTCCCTTTTGAGTTTTGCATCTTGGATCTGTCATATGTGAGTTGTGATAAGAAAAATAGATAAATAATGACTTTTTATTTAACATTATTGTATTTCTTATTCTTGATTCTTCTACATTTTCGTTTGATTGTTGGTACACAAGTTTTTGAAACATCAAGATAGCTTTAATTAAGCTTATAAAGATTTTACGAGTTTAATCGCCTGAAAATTCTTTCATAACCAATCATATCATTTATATAGTAGCTTAAGCAATTGAATCACTTGAACGAAAGTTTGATCAATTTAATTCATATGAAAACAAAATTTGATTCTATTTTATTCTCACAAGTTAAACTCATTGGATGATATTAATTTGAAAGCATGTTATGATAATCTTGACATTGTTCTAAAACGTGTAAATTTTTGCAATCTTGATGGCGAAGATCTATTTCAAAAATTAAAATTTTTGTGAAATCTTTTATCAATAGAAACAAAGACAATTTTTTTATATATTGATTTGTTTGAAAAGATTGAATTGCTTTTCAAGTACATTTATTGTTTATAAAATACTATTGACAATTTATGTTACTGTGCATGTGACAAAAGCAGTTATTCAAAATTAAGTTATTAAAATCATATTTGCAATCAATCATGTTAGAAGAACGATTGAATGACCTAGTTTTGATATCCATTGAATAAGATTTGCTAAAACACATTGATTATAAAAGTTTAGTTCGTGAGTTTGCTTCTAGAAATGCGAGAAGGAATATTTTTATATGATTTGTTGTATTTCAAGGTTTACATGTGGTGTTTGTTGTTTATTTTTATTTTTTTCAAGGTTTGTTCATATGGAATTGCACGAAGAGTTTAGTGATTTTGATGGTTCTTTGTTGATGACATGAATTTTGATGAAGTTCGGGAGGTGATTTTGAATTTTACTTGTACTTTTCTTATTCATGACATTTAAAAAATTAAACAAATATTTAAATTTCATATTTTTGCAATGAAATAATATTATTAAAATATATTTTTTTCTTAATATATTTTTAATTACCTGAAAGGGTAACATTTTAAAATATCACACGAGGTATCCAAAATCTCAAGGCCGGTACTGTACTAACCTATATGTTGCTTAAGTGGCCACAAGATCATAAGGAAAGGATACTGATAAGTATATTTTCAGTTTTTGTATTTGGACTAAAGAGAAGAAAAGGAAAAGTTGCACTAGATGTTTGTAATAATAGATTAGTGTCTTCTTGTTGAAATGAGAGCAATAATATTTTTTGATGTTGATGGTTGATGCAGTATGACTTTGGTGCCCAAGTGGGTATGAATTGTGAGTGACATTTGGATTGTCGTCTATGGTGTGGGCCGTGTGGCGAATTACCACATATAATTTGGACACATGGCATAAGTGCAAAGCTTAACACACATTGAGGCAAGTAACAGCACGGGTGAAAGGCTAGCATGGGTAGCCGGAACAGGCACAACCAAGGCATGAAAAGCCCGACTCTTAAGACTGTAGTTCATCTTAGTGGATCGTTGCGGTCTGCAACGCAATTACTGTTGTGGCAGTCAAAGTTAGAAGATTCATATATATTTCTAGTGCCTTCAATTGAGACTTTGTTCAGTGCATATGAGTGCATAGATGGCAGACTCAATTGAAAAAAATAAGAAATCATCGAACAATATACAGCTTCGGTTTCAACTCCGGGCACATTTGAACAATACTCCATTTGCTAACTGTAAGATTCGTTTGGGTATTAGAATGAACTGTTGTTGGAAATTCGACTACCGCAATCAAAAGAACAAAGAAAATAATAGAAAATAAAAATAGAAGATGAAACGAGGTATGCCAAGGCAAATCTCCTTAAGACAGATTTTGCCCCCCAACAACGTGCAAACGAGATTTTGGACGTCTGTCTCCCAAAATACAACGTTCTTCCAAAGTCGATATTGCACAATATCAACCTAGTCAGTCGACCCAAAGAATAAACATACTCGCACGGAATAACAACGAAAATATTGAAGGTATATTAGCAGAATATGG